GGCAATCTCTTGGCCTCAGCCTCCCGAGTAACTGAGAGGCATGCGCCACCCAAACCTGTGTAATATACTTACTATATATATAATATATTTTAACTTCTCCGTTAATTTCATTTTTCTTTTAGTAGAGATGGAGTTTGGCTCTCGCTCAGGCTGGGAACTTCTGAGCTCAAACTATCTGTCCACCTCAGCCTCCTAGAGTGCTAGGGTTATAGGCCTGAGCCAACACGCCCTGCCTTCTTGGATGTGTACATTAATGTTTTTCCTCATTTTGGGCAACTTTTCAGCCATTATTTCTTCAAATTTTCCTTCTAGTGCTTCACATGTGTCGTCTTTGCTGGCACTCACATCATGTGTGTTCTTGTAATGTTTGATGGTGTCTCACCACGCTCTGACTGTGGTGTTTCATTCTTCTGTCCGTTCCTCAAAGGGGACATTCTAAGTTGACCCATCTCCACGTTCACTCATTCTTTCTTCTTCTTTTTTCTTGAGGGAGTCTTGCTCTGTTGCCCTGATATCACCATAGCAACCTCAAGCTCCTAGGCCCAAGCAATCCTCCTGCCTCAGGCTCCGGAGTAGCTGGGACTACAGGCACACACATTTGTGCTGGGGTAATTTTTTCTATTTTATGTTGTTTGGCTAATTTCATTCTATTTATAGTATAGACGGCAGTTGGCTCTTGCTCAGGCTGGTCTGGAACTGCTGAGCTCAAGCAATCTTCCCGCCTTGGCCTCCCAGAGTGCTAGGATTACAGGTGTGAGCCACCAAGCTGGGCCCTTAGACATTTTTAATCATGTCACCCTTTAGGGGCCGCTGTTGGGAAGTTTGATGCTACTTGAATTTTTCAAACTGACACTTCTTGCTTCTATAAACCCTGGAATGCTTGTTAGGGGCACACTGCAAAAGCAAGAGACAGCCCCGCTCATCATTCAGGGTGGCTGCCAGCACTTATGACGCCATCCACACACCAAGGGGAAATGCACAGCTTTCTTCCTTCGTCATGAGTGCACAAGGGGACAGCAGGCCAGAGGCCCGGCAGGTCCCAGACAGCCTGAGAGAGAAGGGAAGGGAGACTGGCCTGGGTGTTACTGTGTTGTCCTGCAGCTGCATGGGGCTGGTTGCTCAGGCAGGCAGGGCCTTGGAGGTCTGCATGTCTGGCTAGGGCCTGTGAGAGAGCCCCACGGATAATTCTCAGCTTGTCCCAATGTCGGGGACAAGGCAAGAAGGAAGGAAAATGTCTAACAGCCATCAACACTCAGGCCTAAGATGAAGAAGCCAGGCTCAATACAGGGGGACGAAAGCCAGTCAGTGGGACGCCTTGACCTTCCCATGAGCCTCCTGGGGTTGAAGGAAGCCTGGTCACTCCCTGGGCTGCCTGCATACCTGCGCCCTGTCATCACAGCTCACCTGACCCCCAGGCGGCCTAGGAGAGCAGTTCATCCCTGGCCTGGGACAAGGTTCCTCGCGGCACGGTACCCACAGAGAATGCCTGTTTGTGGCTGCCAGAGGCCTCTCACGTGGAGAGCAAGGAGCAAAAGTCCAGAGGCTGGGTCTCCCCATTCCTGAGGAAGTTCAGGCTGAGCAGGGCCCCAGCCTGTGACAACCCCGAGATTCAGAGCCACGAATCAAAGGTGTCCAATAAGTCCTGCTGCTTCTGCAAGGTCCGCTGCCTCCTGCGAGCAACCCCAGTCTCCTCAGACAAAGGCAGCCTGGCCACATGTGCACTCCCTGCCCCTCAGCGGCAGCAAGACCACCTCGTGCCTGGCCAGCTTTCCCACTCGGAGCAGGGGACAGGCTAAGGTCCCTGCAGCGCTGAGAGCTGGGCAGCCCCCTGTCACGAGGGCATTTGTGAAAGCGGTGGTGGGAACCGGTCACGATGCTCTAGGGGTCCTCTGGCAAAAGAAGCCCTGGGGTGGCTTCTGCTCTGAGTGTCTGTGGTTCTGTGCCAGCCTGTACCCTAAGTGCCCCAGAGGGTCTGCCCTGAACTCAGGAAACATGCGGTCATTAGAAACCAGGGCGCTGCCCAGGTGCCCATCTAGACCGGCCCATGCTGGGGGTAGGCACAGAGGTGGAAGACAGTGGTCTCTGGCCTTGGTGAGGGCTCCAGGCCAGCAAGGGTCAGTCGCAGAGGTCAGAGAAGGAAGACAGGGCTGGGTGGCCCTCTGGCACAACTTTCCCCCTGGCAGAAAGGGAACAGAAGCCGGGACAGGGAAGCAGGAGCCGGCAGTCACACAGGGCAGTGGCAGAACAAGGACTAGAGCCAGGGCCTCATCCTCTCAGCTGCCCCCATCTCCTTCTCCTCTGCCCACCCCAGTGCCACATTGCTCCTTGGTTGACCCCTTCCCCTAGGGCAGGCCTGTAGCCCACGGGGCTCCCCGCCCCGGCCAAACCCATGGGCCCTGCATGACCCAGACACTGAGAGGATGGCGCCGTGGGTTGCAGCTCAGACAACTGTCATCTGCTGGCTCCAGCCTGGCCCCGGGTGGTGACTGCTCACTGCTCAGGGTCTGGACACAGCGTCCCTGAAGGTCAAGGAAGCTGGCCATTCCCATCGTGGAGTGACTGAGACGCTCTGGAAGGTGGCTGACCCCTGGGCTTGCATCAGGTCTTCCCAGAGAATGTTCTGGCACCTGATGACTCAGCCGTGGCTGGTAACCCTGGCATTTCACTTTGTGGCCCTCCTGGACTTCTCTCCCTTCTTGGGGTGTCAAACGTGAAGGGAGGTAACGGGACGGTGCTGGCAGGGCTGCTGGCAGGTGGGCGGGTGGGCCCAGCAGGGCCTGAAATGTGGCTCTCCAGGCAGAGTGCTGCCTTCTGCCCCCCATGTCCGGACGTCCGCCTCTGGGCAGCCCAGTCTGGCCCCTCCCCCATAAGGCAGGACCACAGAGTCCTTGTCACCAGTGTGGACACAGCTGAGTCAGTCAGGGCGTTGGGGTAAAGGTGGAGATTGGCTGACATCTTCTGAACCTCAACAAATCCATCTGTCAAATGTGGCTTGAAGGTCAGATCAGCATGGATTAAACGGGTTGGGCTGTCCCCAAGAGGCTGTGAGGCCCCATGACAGCCAGCCGTGTTCAGGGGGCCAAGGTGGGCAAAGCACGTTGGTTTATTGGACATTAGGGACCCTGGGTGGAGAGAAGGTTGGGGCTTGGTTTGGGCCTCTAGCGGGGCACAGCACAAAGCTGGTATGGGCAGGGGGTAACCAGGAAGTGACAGACACCGTGGTCGCTGGGCCGGGGGTGCCCTGGAGGCACTGAGAAGCTGAAGCGCTGCAGGAGGCAGGTGAAGAAGAGGAAGAGCTCCATGCGGGCCAGGGGCTCCCCGAGGCACGCGCGGCGGCCTGTGTGTGGGCAAGGGGGGATCAGTGAGCCTGGGTCCTGGGCTTCACCCCCCCATGACTCCAAGGAAGGGGGCAGGGGGTGGGGCAGCGCACAGGCACCTGCTGAGAAGGGCATAAAGGCCTCAGGCTTCATGAAGCGGCCCTGAGAGTCCAGGAAGTGTTCGGGGTGGAAGCGGAAGGGCTTCTCCCAGATCACCTCGTCCTTCAGCACCGATGACAGGTTGGTGAAGAGTGTTGTCCCCTGGGAAAGAGATGCCTAGCCTGAGTGGTAACTGGGAGTGTAGTATATTGCAACCCCTGCCACCAAAGGAATGGGGCACACACCTTGCCTAGCACTCACCTGAACACTTTTTTTTCCCCAGCATATTTTTGGTGTACAAATGTTAAGGTTACTTATATTTCCCTTGCCCCCTCCCCCCTCGAGTCAGAGCTTCAAGCGTGTCCATCCCCCAGTTGGTGCACATCACACACATTATGTATGTATATACCCACCACTCTCCCCCTACCTGCCAGACACCCGATAGATGTTATTCCTATATGTCCACTTATGTGTTGATCAGTTAATACCAATTGTTTGTGAGTACATGTGGTGCTTATTTTTCTATTCTGGGGATACTTCACTTAATAGAATGGGTTCCGTCTCTATCCAGGAATATACAAGAGGTGCTATATCACCGTTGTTTCGTATAGCTGAATAGTACTCCATGGTATACATATACCACATTTAATTAATCCACTCATGTATTGATGGGCACTTTGGTTGTTTCCACATCTTTGCAATTGTGAACTGTGCTGCTATAAACATTCGAGTGCAGGTGTCTTTTTCACAGAGTGACTTTTGTTCTTTTGGGTAGATGCCCAGTAATAGGATTGCTGGATCAAATGGTAGATCTACTTGTATCTCTTTAAGATATATCCATATTGCTTTCCACAGAGGCTGAACTAGTTTGCAGTCCCACTGAACACTTTCAAGGAACCCTGGGCCTTAGGAGCTTCTCCTAACTCTTTGACCCAGAGGCAGGGCTGAGTCATGCATCCCATGGGTGCCCTCCCCACCACCTACCCCTGCAGAGACAGATTCTCTAGGACAGGTTCTGGATTGTCTTCCTCACTGGACTGGGGGTCCAAGCAGTCAGGCCCGCCCTGTCCCTGCTCTGTACCCCACACCCAGGCTGGGCAGGCTGTGCCCGTGGTAGCTAGGACAGGTGACCTGTGTTCCCAGCCTGGCCCAAGCCGCAGTCCTACCTTGGGGATGAGGAAGCCCTTCACTTCGATGTCACGGGACGTCATGTGGGGCACACCCAGGGGGACGATGTCCGCGAAGCGCTGCACCTCGTGAATCACAGCAGTCGTGTAGGGCATGTGGGCCTGGTCACCCATTTCTGGTCTCCGCACCTGCCCTATCACTTCGTCAATCTCCTGTTGGACACGGCCTGGATAGACAAGTGTCCCACAAGGGTCAAAACTCGGCATCTGGACCCTGACCCTCTCCTGAGTCCTGTGCGGGGGGCTGGGCCACCTGAGGAGAAGGTCACTCTTACAGAGCGTGGCTCAGGCTGTGCTTGGGCCTGGGGTGTCAGAATGAAGCTCAGGGGCCCCTGCCTGTACCTCTCCTCCCTCGGCCGCCCCACCAGACCGCAGCCGGGCTCACGCTGCACATCCGGGTGCAGGATCATGAGCAGCAGGGCCCAGACCAGCGTGGTCGAGGAGGTCACCATGCCAGCGGAGAACAGGTCAGCCACCACCAGGCGCAGGTTATCATCGTTGAAGCTGCTCTCGGGGGTCCCCTTGGCCTGACCAGGTATAGAGGGTTGGCTCAGTGGGCAGAGGAGGAAGGCCCCAATGACCCCCCACACTGCACCTGTCAGCCCTGCTCATAATGTGGTACACCAGCTCCATCCTGCCTGGCCTCGCCTCACTCCTCATGGATCCCACAAGCTGTAGATCCTGTCCTTGTCCCTGTCAGTGGCCCTCACCTTCTCCACCTCAGCCAGGAAGGCGTCAGTCAGGTCTCGGGGTGGCTGGGCCGGGTCCTGGGTCATCCTGTGCTCGGTCACCAGCTCATCCAGGAGAGTCATGAAAGCCTTTTGTGCAGGGAAAGCTTTGCCTGGCAGTCCTGGGATGCTCAGGAGCATTGGGACAGCATTCAGCACCTGTTACAGTCACAAAAAGGGGCCTCGGTCCATCCTGTGCTCAGTATTCACTTGCACCAGTATCGAGTTCCAGAGCTGATGCACCACCTGCCCGTCCCCACCACTGACCTGGTCCCTCCCCACATGGGAATCTCCACACTGTCTCCTGGCCCTGGGCTGACACAAGGACAACCCTACGATGTAAATTTCATGGGCTTATTGGCTCCCAATGTGCCCAGGAGGCCCGGGCTCTTTGACCCTCTCTGTGGTTCTACTGACCATGGGTGCACCTCTTCCATTAGCCTTGTCTGAGATTTCCCGACTCCTCGGTGCCCTGCGTCTTGCAGTGGGGTCTCCAGGAATGGCCTTTCCTATCACCCATGTTTGGAGGCCCAGCTGTAGGTGGAGGCACCTGCCTGGAGCTCACCCTGCACAGACTCCCGCAGCCCTTCCCTGCCGCACCTCTCGTAGGAAGCCGGAATCCTCCTTCAGTCCCTCTTCCACCAATTCCATTAGCCTGAGGAAGCGCTGGTCGTCGTACTCGAAGCGGCGCCCGTAGGTGAGGGACGCGATCACGTTGCCCACCGCTTTGTTCAGCAGCGCGTTGGGGCTAAAGGGCTGTGCTGGGGCGGCATGCGGGTCAGGGAGGCTGCTCTTCTCCGGCCGGCCCCACCTCCCCGGTCCTCCCCTGCCCCTGCCCCGGTCACTTACCAGCGTGTTCGGCGAAGGCGGCACAGAGGCAGGCGGCCTCCTCGATCACCCACAGCTCCAGCGACTTCTTGCCCAGACCGAAGAAGCGCAGAGTGGACAAGGAGAAGCGCCGCTGCTCGCGCCACGCGGGCCCGTAACGCGCCAAGATGACCCCTGGGGGCGGGGCAGGGGAGGGTGGGCGTGGCCCGAATACTCTGCCCCGCCCACTGTCCCTCTTCCTCTCCGAGGGGCTGTGGCCCCGCCCACTCTGACCCTGCCTCCGGGGTCTCGCTCTTGCTTCTCCACTTTGGTCGCCTGCTCTCTGTCCCCTGGTCGGGGAGGCCTGGGCCCCAGCTGTGCCCTGCACGCCCTGACCACGGTTTCACCCGGGGAGGCCGCACCTGCCCCGCCCGCCCACACCGAGTGCGACGCCCCCGCGTGGCCGCCGTGAGTCCCCACTCCGGTCCGCCCTGCCTCACTGTGTCCTAGGCGCCTCGTGGGGCTCCGCCCCCTCTGGGTAAGTCCCGCCCCTCTGCGCCCACAGGGCCCGCACCCACGCGCAGGCTGTTCCCTCACCCTCCGCCCCCAAACCCACCCGCTGGCCTTTCTCTGCGTCCCTGGTCCACGGTCAGGAGCCGCCCAGGGCCGTCTCTGGGACCTGCTCACTGGATTCGTTCCTGCCGCGACAGTCCCCACGGTCACTTGCCTTCCGCGTGTGGCCTGTAGCCTAGGTGCTCGTAAATGGGCGAAGGCGGCCGGTCGGCAGTGTCCTCGTTGTGCTTCACCAGGGCCTCGCGCACGGCCTCCAGCCCGTTGAGCACGACCGCCGGCGTCCAGGCCAGCTGCAGGCTGTACACGTCCCCGAAGCGGCGCCGCAGCTGTAGGACGAGGGTGGGGCGTCCATGAAGCCAGGGTCCCTGGCTGCTGGTTCGGGGCTCACCATAACGCCTTGTGAGAACCTGGGGCCTGTGGTAGCCCAATTCAAGGACAAAATGTGCACTCCAGATCCTAGGGGTTCCAGTCTCTACATTTGAGGAGCTCAGTTTGCATCCAACAACTTAGCTATGTCTGACCTGAAAGAATGACCGAAATTGACAGTAGGCCCATTATCATCCCATTTTACAGATCAGGAAACTGAGGGTTAAGGAGGTGAGCTTGAGGCCCATGGACCAACAGCAACAAAACATTTCAACTGGGTCCCTGCACCTCTCTCCACCCCAGTTTTCTTATTTAAATGGTGCCTAGGACACTGACCTCCCTCCCATTCCCCCGAACTTTCCTTCTGTTTCATCAGAAGGGACTTGGGGCTTCCCTTTTCTGTGCTGTCCAACGGGCTTGCAAACCTACTGCCCAGTCCCGCCTAAATTCTAGGCCTTTGCCCTCCCAGACCTTTTCCTTTGGAAAATCCAGACTGTCCCTCAGGGCCTGCACAAATGCCCTCCCCAGGGAGACCCTCACACCTGCTTCCTCTCTGGGCCCAGCTCCTTATGCAGACTGTGTCTTACCCACCACGCACGTCTCCTGCTGGGGGTGGGGTGCCAAGGCCCCTGCACCGTTCCACCACCACCTCCCTCACCTGGCTAAAGCAGTAGGGTACGTCCTGGAAGTCCACCTGCAGCAGGTTGCCCAGCCCCGGCAGTGACATGGGGCCTGGCGGGTAGCGTGCAGCCCAGCGTGGGCGCCGGTGCATGAGTCCACCAGGAGCAGGAAGATGGCCACGGCCAAACCCAGGGGTGCCAGCAGGTCCCCTGTCATCAATCCCATGGCTGCCTGTCCACTGGACTCCAGTAACTCCTGTCACTCCAGCAGTCCACGCTCCTAGGTCCAGGCACACCGAGTGCCCGAACACTGTGTTGTTTCTGTATAAAAGACCCTTGTCCTGGCCTTTGCCCTGTGCAGTTAGCCAACTCATTCCATGTACTGTGCTGCCAGAGGGTTCAGGGCCAGGGCAGGGCCAGGGCCAGGGACTGGTTAGGAGGTCCTGACTGCCCCTGCTGCTTATCCAGGGTAGGGGGGTGATTGATGAGGCCTGGAGAGAGCGCTCCACTCAAGCTGGATGTGCCACTTGTGCTTGGTGGTGCACAGGGACTTGGAAGAAGAGGGCCTCTGCTCCAAGATACTCATGACAAAGAGTAGGAAGGTCAGATAGCTAACATGACAAGCCAGTAGTGCTTCAAGGGTCATGAGGACATTTGCTCAGGCTTGAAGAGGACTTTCTGGGAAGGTTTTTAGGAAAGCTTTGGCTAGCAGAGACTGAGGGACTGAAAGGCACTGCAGGGCAAGGCCCTGGCAATAGGACTAAGGCAACACTGGGACATCCTGTGCACTAGGGTGACAGGCAGTGGGAAGAAGGTGGCTGGAGCTTGGGGGTTTGCAAGCCTGGCTGACGACTCAATGTGACAACAGGAGGCAGGAGAATGAGTTTTGAGGCCACTGGACTGTCCTGGAGAGCAAGACCCATCTATCCTCCAGGGTAGTCTCAGATCCAACTGTGGCCTCCCATCTGGCCTCAGCTGAATGGCAGCAGCTTTCTATTTGTGACTATCAAGAGTATCAAGGTGCAGGGTTGCAAGTTGGTGTGGGTGCTTTTCATATGGTGGCTCTTGATAAATTGCCTTTATTTCCCCTTGGGTTTTTTTTTGAGACAGGGTCTCAGTCTGGCTAAAGTGCAGTGGCATCATCATAGCTCACTGCAACCTCCAACTCCTGGGCTCAACATCCTCCTGCCTCAGCCTCACAAGTAGCTGGGACTATAGGCTTGCCCCACCATACCTGGCTCATTTTTTCTATTTTTGGTAGAGACAGAGTCTTGCTCTTGCTCAGGATAGTCTCAAACTCCTGACCTTAAGTGATCCTGCCTTGGTTCCCAGAGTGCTAGGGTTATGGGCATGACATTGCACCTGGCCCCCCTCGCTTTTTGAGGTGTCAGGTCTACCCTGTAGCCATCCTAATGGAGGTGTGAAGGGTGCAGACAGGCCTGTATCATGGCAGTGCCCTCCTGATGCCAGAGGCCTGTAATTCAGCATGGGCAGTGAGGGGAACCTTCAATAATGATTCCTGTGGCACAGAGGAGACTGAGTCTCAGAGGTTATGTAATGAGGTCAAAGTGACAGAGCAGGATCAGAGTCCACGTCCAAAACACATGCTCTGAGCAACTGCTCTACACTCTTTCAACATCATATTCTACTTTTTTTTTTTTTTTTTTGAGACAGAGTCTCACTCTGTTGCCCAGGCTAGACTGCTGTGGCGTCGGCCTAGCTGACAGCAACCTCAAACTCCTGGGCTCAAGCAATCCTCTTGCCTCAGCCTCTCGAGTAGCTGGGACTACAGGCATGCACTACCATGCCCGGCTAATTTTTTCTATACATTTTTAGTCGGCCAATTAATTTCTTTCTGTTTTTGGTAGAGACAGGATCTTGCTCAGGCTGGTTTTGAACTCCTGACCTTGAGTGATCCACCTGCCTCGGCCTCCCAAAGTGCTAGGATTACAGGCGTGAGCCACCTCGCCCAGCCAACATTATATTCTATTAATGACCAGTATAGAAGTTCCTGGGATTTATTATTTTATAAAAACACACCCAGCCTGTCCGTCCCAAATAGTGGGACTGCCCATGTCACAGTGTAAAATGCACTGTGCACTGGCCTTGCAACACTGGCACATGAGATACCATTTAGAAATATGTAGGAAGCTCTAGGCCCTTGGTCTTCAAGAGAGCCTGGGGTTAACAGTAGTACACAGACCAAAACATGTTAGTGAGAATTCTAGAAACCAGTTAGGCAGGTGTAGCGCCCAGCTGGTCCAGAGCCAGGAGGGGACTGCACTCGAAGGGTAGGCAAGTTTGAGCATTTTGCTCATTGTTACTGCCCTCCCTGCCCCCTCATAGCGGTGCCATCTGGAGGAAACCTCCGGAATCCTTGCTCTGCCTAAGGGACAGGTTGTGGGCAGTGACCCAGAGTGCTGAGGGAGTCTGGGTGCCTGGTTGGTGGCCTTCCAGCAGCAGGGCATCTGAAGTTCCACAGGCAGGGAGCAAGGGAGTCATTGTTTCCGGGTATCCTGGTGGGTGAGGGTTCCAGGGGCTCTAATGATGATCAGGACCCTTAAGTAAAATGGTGCAGTATTTGTATATAACCTCCTGTATGCTTCAGATCATTTCTAGCTTACTTACAGTACCTAATAAAATGTAAACCGTTGATACTGAATGGTTTTTTATTTATTTTTGAGACATAAGAGTCTTACTCTGTTGCCCAGGCATCAGTCTAGCTCACAGCAACCTCAAACTCCTGGGCTCAAGCAATCCTCCTGCCTCAGCCTCGTTAAGTAGCTGGGACTACAGGTGCAAACCATCATGCCTGGCTAATTTTTTCTATTTTTACTAGATGGGGGTCCCACTATTGCGCAAGCTGGTCTTGAACTCCTGATCTGAAGCCATCCTCCTCCCTTAGCCTCCCAGAGTGCTAGGATTAGAGGTGGGAGCCACTGTGCTGGGCCTATTTATATTATTTTTTACTGCTGTATTTTTTCCCCCAAATATTTTCAATCCATGGTTGAACACACAGATGTGGAACCTGTGGATACGGAGGGCTGGCTGTTCTATAGAAACAAATGGAAAACTCAAGGAGCAGGGACAGCCTGCAGGGAAGTAGTTTTTTGCAAAATGAAAAAGTTCCAGAGACCAGTTGCACAATGTGAATATACTTACCACCACTGACCCGTTAAGACTGTAAATTTCATGGTTGTTTTTTTTTTTGAGACAGAGTCTCGCTTTGTTGTCCAGGCTAGAGTGAGTGCTATGGCGTCAGCCTAGCTCACAGCAACCTCAAACTCCTGGGCTCAAGCGATCCTCCTGCCTCAGCCTCCTGAGTAGCTGGGACTACAGGCATGTGCCACCATGCCCGGCTAATTTTATTCATATATATATATAAAATCAGTTGGCCAATTAATTTCTATTTATAGTAGAGACGGGGTCTCAGTCTTGCTCAGGCTGGTTTCGAACTCCTGACCTCGAGCAATCCGCCCGCCTCGGCCTCCCAGAGAGCTAGGATTACAGGCGTGAGTCACCGTGCCCGGCCTCATGGTTGTTTTTTTTTACAATTAAAATTTTTAAAAACTATTTTTAAAAAATTGCACCCAAGAAAGGTAGCTCATGCCTGTAATCCCAGAACTTTGGGAGGCTGAGGCTGAAGCATCGCTTGAGGCTGGAAGTTTAAGACCAGCCTGGGCAACATAGCAAGACCCTGTACCTACAAAATAATAATCAGCAGGATGTGGTGGTGCTTGCCTGCGGTCCTAGCTATTCAGAGGCTGAGGCTGGAGGATCACTTGAGGCCAGGAGTTGGAGGTTGCAGTTAGCTATGACGATGCTACTAAATTCCAGCCCAGGCAACAGAGTGAGACCTTGTCTCAAAAAAGGGGTGGGGGGCACCTATTACAATGGCCAAACTGACACCACCAAATGCTGATGAGAATGTGGAACAACAGGAGCTCATTCCCTACTGGTGGGAATGCAATATTGTACAGATACTTTGGAAGATAGTTGGGCAGTTTCTTACAAAACTAGATATACTCTTACCTTTCGATTCAGCCATTACCCTTCTTGGTATGTACTTACCCAGGAGTTGAGACCTTATGTCCACACAAAAACCTGCACATGGATGTTTATAGCAGCTTTATTTGAAATTGTCAAAACTTGAAAGCAACCAAGATGTCCTTCGGCAGGTGAATGGATAAACTGTTACATCCAGACAATGGAATATTCAGCACTAGAAAAAAATGAGCTATCAAATCATGAAAAGAACCTTAAATGCATATTACTAAGTGAAAGAAGCCAATCTGAAAAGGCTACATACTCCGAGATCTCAACTATGTGACAATCTGGAAAAGGCAAAACTATGGAGACAGTAAAAAGATCAGTGTGCCAGGGGCTGGGGAAGGGAGGGATGAACAGGTGGGACACAGAATTTTTAGGGCAGCAAAACTATTCTGGATGATACCTTAACAGTGAATACGTGTCATTTTATACATTTGTCAAAAGCCATAAAATGTATAATACCAAGATGAACTCCCAATGTAAATTATGGACTCTGAGTGATAACAATGTGTTAATCACTTCTAACAAATAACAGTGGTGGAAGGGAAAATATGGGAACTCTGTACCTTTTGCTCAATACTGCTGTGAACCTAAAACTGCTCGAAAAAAAGTGTTATGGCTGGGAATGGTGGCTCATGCCTGTAATCCCAGCACTTCGGGAGGTTGAGGTGGAAGGATCATTTGAGCTCAGGAGTTTGAGACCAGCGTGAGCAACATAGTGAGATCCTGTCTCTACAAAAAAATTTAAAAATTAGCTGGGCGTGGTGTTGCACACCTGTAGTCCCAGATACTCAGGAAGCTGAGGGAGGAGGATCGCCTGAACCCAGGAGTTTGAGGTTATGGTGAGATATGATAGCGCCACTGCACTCTAGCCCGGGCAACACACAAAAAACCAAAAGACAACACTATTAAAAAATCAAACACACACTGAACTCAAAAGCTGCGATTGCAGCAAGGCACACGAGCAGCTGAGGCTTACTGCAGAAGGCAGGAAGCTGGAGCAGGGGGTGTACAACATGCCACTCCCCAGTTAAAGGTCATTTCTGAAGCCAGTTTAAGGAAAGACCTAGAACAAACACAAATGCCCCTGACTCAAGGATCATTAGCAAATCAAAAGGGGACAAAAGAATAAAAGACAAATGATGAAGCAATATTTGCTGTCAGGAAAATATCATATTTTCCTCAAGATACATATTTTTTAAGTTTCGTGGTTTACCTCTTGACACTTGAAATCAATTTCATTTTAACTGTGTTGATGCCAAGCAAAGACCAGAACGGG